GAAGCACCCAACGCCCCTCACCTCGATGATCTCCCGAACCTCGCATGTCGTCTCCAGCGCCTCCAGCTTGAGCTGGGCCGTGCCGACGACGCGGTCGGTCTTGAAGAGGCCCCTGGGGGAGAGGAGAGGGGTACAACCAGCTCGGGGCAGGCGGAGGAGGGGGAACGCCCCGCTCTCTTACCCCTTGTGCGCCACTTCGAACTTGATGCCTTTGGTCTGAAGGACGCGCCGCAGCCCGCGGTGCCCTCGGTTCATGTACAGCTTGAACTGCTCCTTGAACTCTGCCAAGGGAACCACCGCGGCGAAACCGCGGCGTCAGCGGGAGGAGCAGCGCGCAGCCCCCGGCGAGATGGGGACCGGGAGCAGAGCCACGTTAATTACCCCCCCACGTCACGCTAACGATTCTCTGTGGCGACGGCAGACGCACGGACCCTTCGTGTCGCTCCCTTGGTGCCAGCCCCCTCCCCAGCTCTCGGGAAGGGCGCAACGGGGCATTTACCGGGAGAATCGGTGTTTTTGATGACGTTGGTCTTGTCTTTCTGAGCTTCCTCCTGCCAAGGCGAAGGTGGGAGGGTGAGGGCCGAGCCTCCCGGCCAGGGAGCACGGCACCGGGGCTGACTTACCGCGTTGGGGTAGGGGAACTCGAAGCGCACGAAGGCGTCCAGGTCATTGGGAGCCACACCTGCAAGGCGGACACGGCGTGAGCGCCGCGCTGGCAGCGCCAACCCCTCGCAGGCCACCGCGGCAGAGGATTGGCGGCCCCTTGGACCCCTGCGCCGTCCCCGAGCTCTGCCAGCTCCTTGGGGAGCCTGCCTGGCGTAACGGCGCCATGGCAGGACCCTCGCCACAGCCTCACCGCTCCCGGCGGGGCAGCGTACGCGCACAGCCGGGGAAGCGGCGCACGTTAATGAGCGCCGGCGTCGGCCCCAGCCATCTCTGGGGCATTTTAACCACAGATAATTAAAAAAACCCAACCCGAACAGTTGGCGGCGGCCACCTGGCACAGCGCGGGGGAGCAGGCAAACCCCAGCGCTCCCTCCTCCCCGCCGCGGTGA